CGCCCTTCCACTTGACCAACCATGATGTCCTTCTCCAAGGCCTGGTCTCTCCTGACAGCATGTTCAAAGTATGTAAGACAAAGTCTCACCATCCTTGCCTCTCAGGCGCACTCTGGATGTACTTCTTCCGGGACAGAGCGGTTTGTCCGTGATTTCATCAATTGTGCAATTACACTGATTCTTCTTCCCGCTTCCTCGTTCAAGGCTCACTTCCACAAGCATACGAGGCGCATGAGAGCACCCCGGCAGTCCTCAAAGTGACATCCTTGCATTTCAACACTCTCAGGGGTCTTGTGCAGCAGCTGTGTACAACTTAGTGGCAACCGAACAGGATTCCGCGGTGGTGCGTGGCTGCCACCTGGAAGGTCAGAGGTTCCAACCTAGCAGTTGCTCCACAGGAGAAAGGCGTGGTGGTTTGCTTCCAGAAAGATCCGGTCTAGGGAATCCGATGTGGCCCTTCTATCCTATCCTGTAGGGTCCCAGTGACTTGGAATGGAGAGCACAGGTGTGGTGTGTCTACTGCTCCATCGTGTGTACATATGACTGCTGTTGGGGCAATGGTCAGGTGCTGGTGGCTAACTGAAAGCGTAGCAGTTCAATATCATACCAGCTCCGCAGGAGCAAGGCCTGGCTATCTGCACCCCCCAGAGATGACTGCAGTTGCCGCCAGGTGCTGTCAGGTCTGTTCCCCCACCCCCAACACACACACACACACACCGCCCAGTGCTGCGCCATCCTCACACCTGCTACCCCGCAGGGAGCCCATTGTTGCCACTTTCTTTGAGGCGTGTGCTAGTGACACCAATCAAGGAACTATGCTAGTGCTCTGAACTGGAAAAGCCACATGTACCTACCCTGATTTAACCAGACCTCTGAAGCCGGAGAAGCCACATAGAGACCACTGCTAGCACTGAGATGCTTACAACGCCACTGGATCCACAAGACTTCCCACCCACACCTGGGGGGGGACACAGCTCAGCTGCGAGACAGAGGGACCTGGGGGGGGCCCTGGGGGCAGAGGGTCAGGCCATCGGACACCCCCCCACAGGGGGGACAGGCAGCCTCTTGCAGCAAATGGCCCTGACAAGGCTTGTCTAATAGGGCCAGGCCCCCACCCTACTCCCCCACCGCCATGCCCAGGGATAAACTGAGGCAGGGTAAGGCCCCTGGAAGGGCAGAGGCTGAGCAGGCCGTAGACTTCCGGCCACTCCCGTGGCCCCACGCTACCACCTCCTCCTCAAGGGCTCAGACCCCACCTTGCCCTAGGACCCCCAGCACCTCCCTGCTGGGAGGGGGCCAGAGGTGCCAAGGACACAGTGTCCTTCCTGAGAAGAGATGGGGGGGGGGGGCGCTCTGCTGAACAGAGAGCTGGATGAGAGGACAAGAGAGGCTGAGGCAGGTGGGTAGGGGTGACATAGACAGTGAGGTCCCAGCCTCTTGGCTCAGGGGGACCGCCGGGCATGCACCCAGGACACCCACCTTCCCTGACTTGGAGGAGTTCCTGATGCAGTAGAGGCCGTCGGGGGGCTCCCCTCGGGGGCTTGTGGCTTTGAACAGCCTGAAATGCAAGAGACACGGTGAGGACCCTCGCTGAGACAGGCCGCCCGTTCCTTCGGACCACTTTCCCAGTTCTCCACGGCACAGCGGAGCCTGGCACCACCGAGAGGTGATCGCTGCTGCCAGCTGCCATCAAGTCCAATTCAGCTCATAGCGGCTGGCATGACACCGGCACTGCCCAGGGGGCTGGCGTCTGGGTGGGAGCAGATCCC